CCAGGGGGGGGGGGGGGGGCTTTTTAATAGTTTTGGCATGAGAAAAGTGCTCAGAATGTTGAATAACCCGTAACCAAGGGGGAGCTTTAATTTGCAAAGGGGGGAGCTTTTTAATACTTTTGGCTAGGAATTCATGGGAAAAGTGCTCAGAATGGTGAAAAAATGCTCCCCCAGCTCCCCCTGGCTATGCTTTTCTAAATGATCCCCGCATACATTATCATCATTATCAGTGGAAGATGGCAGGGACGAATAGATCTACGTTTTTGAGTAGTATATCGAGTATCCTCTTAGCACCTATGGGGGGGGTCTTCACTGTGATGAAATGAAAGGATTTGGGGATATCAGGTGAGGATTTCAAAGAATATGTCTCATTTTATCATAACATGTGTCTGTGAAACAGAAAAATTCGATGTGTATCACATTGAAAAACATGCGATAACATCAACAGTGGTTGTGTCATTGGATGGAAAATACGTCGTAAGCTATGGATGAATTATAGTCCATGTATAATGGTTGAGTTTAAATTAGGTTGAAATCTGTATTAATGCCTTTTATTTAGTACAAAATGAAAAATATTACACAAACACATTAGCAAAACGTTATTAATATTTGAGAAGCCGTGAAGCAAAACAAAAAATGTCAGAATTAATATTTACTAGTACGTTGACGTGAGCATGTTTCATGAAGTCAAAAACCTGTAAAATATACTTATAATATATGATATATATATATATTTATACTTCATTAACTGTTGAACTTATTTCATTCAGGTTACGCACTTCCTTTTGAACTTTTTAATGGCAAGATGTAGGTGACATAATTTATTGTGGCGCTGTTGTTCACATAAATATTATTAAGTCGAGTCTTTTCATGCTTTGAAAACCATTATTCGTGTCTTGACCCAAAATTTGCCATAAGGTCAATTTGCAATATGACATGACATTTTGAAGTTAAGACTATTTTTATTTTTGGTTTTAATTTGCCTAGTCATGTTTAGGTTCCGAGGAATGATATCACATATTTCAATATAATGTCATATGATATTATATTGGAACCAGCATTGTGCGTACACACATACTGTAGTTAAGTCACAATATCCTAATATATTGTGTAATAATATTCTAATATTATCATATGATATGATATAATACAATATAAAAACTCACTCTTCACTGTTTTACTGTTTATTGAACCCTTAATGAGCAATGTAAAAGCAACATAGATGACAAATGCACACCGGAATAGCCCGACTACGGTAAAGTCAGACACCGTTGTCACAAATGGCGGACATAACCGTCCCTTCAACTGTTCAATCACTTGGTCCTCATTTCATGGGATTTTATCCACGGGTGTTAAAACACGAATATACCATGAGCACATGCTTTGAGGATCCGCGTTGTTTGAACCTACCGCCGAGCACACTTATACATTAAGACCCGTTACACAGTCATGATACCGCCGAGCAAGCTCATTGCATCATCGGGTCTGCTTTACCCCCGTGTTACCGTGGCTAATTCGGTACATGCACTAAGCTCTTGTGATAATGCATCATATGAAATCCCATTTTCGATCAAATTGGGTCGTGAATCGCCACAATAAAGCGTCTTCGATATCGTCAATGACAACGGAATCTAAAGGAGCACGTAGGTTATCGCAAACAATTTCAAACGATTCTAACTTGAATTATGAATATTTTTTGATCATGAATATGGGTGTATCTTTTAGATCCATTCATTATCTTCAAGAAAAGTATATATAATGATAATTTAGTTAATCAGACCTAAGTGATATTGAAGGGGCAATGGACCAATCAACATACTTTTACAAAAATGTTGACCTAATTTTCACCAAAAATGCAACCTATTATTATATTGTTGAATGCATAATTAGAATGTGCTTTGAGACATGTTCGATTTCCTAAAAGGAAAATTTGATTGCTCCAGGGACTTTAAAGATATTCAATTTGGATGACCAAAATGAACTGAAACCAATGGATAGCATGAGATTTTTCAATGGAGAAATAACATGGGGAACACTTATCTTAATGCAATTAAGTTTTTCTTTCAAGAACTATTTGATACATCAAAATAAAGAATAGTAATGCATTAAACATTCAAAAAAATGATTGCATTTTTGGTGAAAATGGGGTCAACATCTTCAAAATGGGGTCAAAAAGTGTGTTGATGGGTTAATTGCTAGTTAAATATCTCCGAGTTAGTTTGAGTTTATTATTACTGTGCATAATTTTCTTTGAGATAATGAATTGATCTAAAAGATAAATTTGTCTTCATTGTCAGAAAATAGTCATAATCCAAGATATAACCTTCTGAAATTGTTTGCGATAACCCACGTGCTCCTTTGAGTAATTTAGGAAGACAACGGCATATGGTAATTACAGTGTCCGTTGTCCCGTTTGTCATTTTGATCGGTTAAATTAAAGACTTTATTTCGATGGTAGAACATTATTAACTGTATAATGAGTATTAAGACACTTTGATTGATTGTTGTTCCAATTCATGAAAATCTAATTGAAGCGACGGTTATGTCCGTCATTTGTGACAACGGCATCTGACTTTACCGTAGTCAGGCTATTCCGGGTTGAAATGGGCATGTATACATAAAGTTCGGTAAATAATAATATTTATTGTATCTACAAGCATAGTAAACTGCTGATATTATTGTAAAATAGATTAGTAACTATTACATATCACAGTACAAGTATATGATAAAAGTATATATACATGATTCTCATAAACAAATATAAAATAGTTATATGTTATATGAGGTCAGTGGTATCTGAGTCTCAAAATAGACATACGTAATATCAATATTCAAGAGCAAGTCGCATCGCCATCAACTCTACAATATATCTGTGGTGATAAAAGATACAATATAATACATTCAAAATTATATATGAATGTAAACATGTTGTATGTCAAATTTGAAAAAGTGATTTCTAGTTCAGGTAGATTCCGTTACGACCGTTGTTGAAACAGGTAATTACTAACTACTGGCACAAACATGTATCTTTATAGAAAAATCATATACTATAGTACTATCATGTATAGTCTAGCTACAAGTCTTTGTGACCCGCCCTCCCCTTCTCATCCTAACAAGACATTAACAAGCAAAATGTCACCACCTGCCATTTGTTATAGACGCCGAGCGCTAGATGCCAATCCCTGAATATCAACTGCCGAACCGGCGTCACATAAAATTGGAGACCACAACATTATGTCATGACAAGGTCACAAGGTGTGTAGTCAAGTTGAGAGAGGGGTCACAGTGGCTTGTACTGTAGCTAGACTTATCATGTAATATCAATAGCAAACTGTCATGGGTTTCATTTTAAAATTGCAAAATTAATAGTTATGTTTATGTACCAGGTATAAGTAATAGTAAAGTAGAAAAATAGTGCATTAAGGTGCTATGGAAGTTAACAGGAAATGACAAAACAGGAAGTGACAATTTTTTTTGCATTTTTAGATATTTTTTGAATAAAGATAACAGAGTTCTGGTTTGACCTCCAGTCAATTTAACTATTTCCACATATCATTTACATGACCAGGATCACAATGTGCATGGTCAGAACGACCCTAAACATGATGAAATAACCTTTTTAGCCCTTTGAAAGTGTGACTGAAAAAAAGCTATAAGTAGGAGCGTAGGGAAGGTCACTGAACAGAATCTTTTGAATTTTTCAGAAAATGTGCCCAATATAATGCTCTAACTAGTACAATCTTTGAAATTTTAGAAAATTGTCTTAAACATAAATGGCGGTCATAAAAAGGAAAATAGATTGCTTTTCAAATCAGTTTTTTCATTTTTTTTTCTTTTTCTATGAATGATATCAAATTTTCAAAGATTGTATCATTTAGAGCAATATATTGGGCACATTTTCTGAAAAATTCAAAAGATTCTGTTCAGTGACCTTCCCTACGCTCCTACTTTTAGCTTTTTTTCAGTCACACTTTCAAAGGGCTAAAAAGGTTATTTCATCATGTTTAGGGTCATTCTGACCATGCACATTGTGATCCTGGTCATGTAAATGATATGTGGAAATAGTTAAATTGACTGGAGGTCAAACCAGAACTCTGTTATCTTTATTCAAAAAATATCTAAAAATGCAAAAAAAATTGTCACTTCCTGTTTTGTCATTTCCTGTTAAGTTCCATAGCACCTTAACGTCTCACATATTTATGTATCATTTGTAAAGATATTCTTATAAAAAACACAACCCGTTTGCTTGCACAGTCAACTATTCTTCTTACATTCAACTACATGTATCTTGCTCTTTTTTCATCTGTCAAGCCTTATTTTTGTCATTCCACCTTGTGCTTGAACAGTGTCTGATATATTACCAGACAATGTGTTAAATCATTTATGTTTTATTTGACACACTTGTATTGCTTATATGTTTAGAATACTCTGGACCTCATTTTTAATACTCTGGACGGCATTTATAATACTCTGGACGTCATTTTGAATACTCTGGACGGCATTTTGAATACTCTGGACGGCATTTTGTCATGTTTACATACATTGTTAACTCATAGATTGATAAAAAATACAGGGTGCCATTAGAACATGTCCAGAGTTACTCAACAATCTCTGTAAACCTAATTTTGGGCCACCCTGTATGTTCAATCAGATTAACATTAAGAAACATCTGATCCTCCAATAATTTGGCAAATGAAAGTCCCCTATTAGATTGCTTGTTAAACTATATTTCTGAATAATAATACAGTGTAGGTCAGACATTTACTGTGAATTAGACGATTTTTTATAAATAGCCAAATACAGCAGTCCTTATCATATACTGTATGGTCTGACTGGTCATCTCAACATTTTCATGTATAGATACAGGCCCGTAGCCAGGGGGGGTTCGCAGGGTTCGGGCGAATCCCCCCCCCTGGCCAAAAATTCTCTCAAAATCATGCAGTTTTTCACAATTTTTAGTACTTCTCAAGTGATTTTAGCCATATTTGGGCCAAAATTGTCAAATGTGAACCCCCCCCTGGAAATTTTTGAAAACTGAACCCCCCCTTGGCAAATCCTGGCTACGGGCCTGAGATATACTCAGTTTATAAAGGAATATCAGTAAATATCATGTATTACCATGAATTGCTTGATAAATGATTTATTACTATTAACATGTCAGGATGGTAATAAGTGAAAGTATCACATTAATCTTTATAATATCAGGGTTATGGCTTCTTGTTGGATAAATGAGAAGTTATAGTATAGCACATGCTCTACTTGTAGGATTAGCAGTTGTTGCAGCGATTAACTGTCCTGCTTTCTGAAAACGTTTCACTTCTTCTTCACTAAACTGTCGCTTCATATCATCCAATTGACTTAGTTCTGCAATTGCTTTCTTAATATGTGTGTCCCCTGAAACAGGCGAACTGGTCGCTGAAGAATTATTTACACTTGATGGAGCATGGGTTTTCTCCAATGAAGACTCTTCTTGTTTGAACGTTGAATCTGAGACAGTTCTACTACCAGATCTATGTGTTTTATCAGATTCATTATTTGAAGCATTTGTTTGGGGTAATTCATTATTGCTATGTGGTGTGTCATGGTTGTCATGGTTCCCTGGTTGCTGAGTTGCAGTAAGATTGTTCTTCATGTTCTGATTTGTGTTCGATGTAGATGTAAAATCATCATCATCTGACCAACATCCTGAAAAACAAGAATCACAACTATTCGGATCATTCCTGCATTTCTATCGAACAATGAATTCATTGATGATTTTTATTTTCTAATATACATGTACTGTAATTGATAGAATTGTCTCAACTAATACTGCGTGTTTTTCAATCATGTACAGGGTGTTCAAAAAAACGCAACCCAAAGAAATCACTATATCTTGGAAAATACTAATCCAATTACGTTCATATTTTCAGGAAAGAAAGAAGAGACTATGTATGGATAGCCCCTGTTAGTTAGTTGTAAAACATGATATCTTGGACAATTGCTCAAAAGACAGATGTACTAGCAAAATACGAAAAACGTGAATGGAAAATCACTATATCTTGCAAAATACTAATTCAATTATGTTTATTTTTTCAGGAAAAGAAAGAAGAGACTGTGTATGTATAGCTCCTGTTGTCAGTAAGTTGTAAAACAAGATGCCTTGGACACCTGCTCAAATGACAGTTGTACTAGGAAAATATGAAAACGCAGTCTGAGGTGACTGCCACAGCAATACAAGGCATTAACATGACAAAATGTCACCACCTAAAACAATTTGGTCAATTTAAAGCAAGTTGGAAAATACCTTTTGACCTTAAGAAGGTTTGATTTGAACTTCTTAGAACCTGTAGATGATTTTGAAAAAAAAATTCGTCAATTTGAAGCAAGTTGAAAAAATACCTCTTTGACTTTTTTTGACATTGAGAAGGTCATTGAAGGTCAAATGTCAAATGTAAAGTCAGATTTGAACTTCTGAGAACATGTAGATGATTTTGAAAGAAAAATTAAGTAAATTTGAAGCAAGTTGAAAAAATACCTTTTTGACCTTGAAAAGGTCATTGAAGGTCAAATGTCAAATCTAAAGTCAGATTTGAACTTCTGAGAACATGTAGATGATTTTGAAAAAAAATTAGTCAATTTGAAGCAAGTTGAAAAAAGACCTTTTTGACCTTGAGAAGGTCATTGAAGGTCAAATCTAAAGTCAGATTTGAACTTCTGAGAACTTGTAAAGTCAAATTTGAACTTCTGAAAAGATGTAGATGATTTTGAAAAAAAATTTGGTCAATTTGAAGCAAGTTGAAAACAGACCTTTTTGACCTTTTTTGACCTTGAGAAGGTCATTTAAGGTCAAATGTCAAATCTGGTGTCAGATTTGAATTTCTGAGAACATGTAGATGATTTTGAAAAAAAAAATTAGTCAATTTGAAGCAAGTTGAAAAAAGACCTTTTTGACCTTTTTTGACCTTGAGAAGGTCATTGAAGGTCAAATGTCAAATCTAAAGTCAAATCTAAAGTCATATTTGAATTTCTGAGAACATGTAGATGATTTTGAAAAAAAAATTTAGTCAATTTGAAGCAAGATGAAAAAATACCTTTTTGACCTTTTTTGACATTAAGAAGGTCATTGAAGGTCAAATGTCAAATCTAAAGTCAGATTTGAATTTCTGAGAACATGTAGATGATTTTGAAAAAAAAAATTAGTCAATTTGAAGCACGTTGAAAAAAGACCTTTTTGACCTTTTTTGACTTTGAGAAGGTCATTGAAGGTCAAATGTCAAATCTTAAGTCAAATCTAAAGTCAGATTTGAATTTCTGAGACCACGTAGATGATTTTGAAAATTTTTTTTAGTCAATTTGAAGCAAGTTGAAAACAGACCTTTTTGACCTTTTTTGACCTTGAGAAGGTCATTGAAGGTCAAAGGTCAAATCTTAAGTCAAATCTTAGGTCAGATTTGAATTTCTGAGAACACGTAGATGATTTTGAAAAAAAAATTTAGTCAATTTGAAGCAAGTTGAAAACAGACCTTTTTGACCTGTTTTGACCTTGAGAAGGTCACTGAAGGTCAAATGTCAAATCTAAAGTCAGATTTGAAGGTCAAATGTCAAATCTAAAGTCAGATTTGAATTTCTGAGAACATGTAGATGATTTTGAAAAAAAATTTAGTCAATGTGAAGCAAGTTGAAAAAAGACCTTTTTGACCTTGAGAAGGTCATTGAAGGTCAAATGTCAAATCTAAAGTCAGATTTGAACTTCTGAGAACATGTAGATGATTTAGAAAAAAATTGAAGTCAGTCTAAACAGTATTTGTTAAGTTATAGGAAGTTGTAAGAAATTGTTACAGACGCCGGACGCCGGACGCCAACCTCCAACCACCAACCGCCAACCACCAACCACCAACCGCCAACCACCAACCGCCGTCGCAAAAAAACGGAGACCATAACAATATGTCACCACTTTTGGTGGTGACATAAAAACCAAATAACTTTCTAACCATGATGTTTTGGCACTTCAGATTTGGCACAAATTATCCTCACTCGATGTGTGGTAGATTTGTGGAGTTTCATCAAAATCACTCCAGGGACTTTACAGTTATGGTCAAAATGGCTTCTTAAGTCTCCCTGAACCAGGGCGTTTGACTGCGATTTGAAAGCATTTCAACCATGACTGTAAAGTCCCTGAAGTGATTTTGATTTCACTCTACAGATTTACCATACAGTGAATGAAGGTGATTTGTGCCAAATTTGAAGAGCCGTTGCCGTTGCCGTTGCAGTCACCCCTGACTACGTTTTTGGTATTTTCCTCTTACAAATGTTTTTTGAGCAGGTGTCCAAGGCATCATGTTTTACAACTAACCATTTACAGGACTTATACATACACAGTCTCTTCTTTATTTCCTGAAAATATGAACATAATAGACTTGATGCAGGTAGAAATAATCGTAATTTACGTCATGAAATATTCGAAATTCAATCAAATTAATCTCATATTTGAAATCTGCATGTAAAAGTACATTTAGAAATATGGTTTCAAAAATTGTCTATCAACTTTGAAAATTTAATTTTTTTTGAAAATGTGACTTCTTGCTCGGGTTGATTCCCCATAGACCCCATGCTACAAAATCACAAAAAGGAAATTATCTTCTCTTGTATTGGACAGATAACATGTTCTACTGGCGGACATATATTAATTTGCATAACTATGAGATACATAAGGGTTATATGAAAATTGAACCACGCAAATAGATGTAATTTAAGTTAAAGGGAACTTTCTACTATACCCGCCATGCTATCTGACCCAAACGAGCCACCTGGTGGTGAATCTGGTAACTACCTACTCGCACCTGCGTTATTGAACCAGTATTTTTCAAGATATAGTGATTTCTTTGGGTTGCGTTTTTTTGAACACCCTGTATATTTCATGGTTTCTTATATAAGAATTAATTTGAACATTTTTGGGTTCCCGATGACACGCAAAAGCATTCCAGAAATATATTTCCAATTTGTGGCAATGAACATTTAACTTTACATAAGAAGATATATGTACAGTACTGTACATGTACCAACTTGTGGCAACTTACCAAAATCTAGCTGCTGTTCGGTGGAACCAGGCCGCATCTCTAAATATTTCTCACCCAAATGGCTATGTGACCCCAGCTGTTCCTTGAGTAAGATATCTTCCTCTGTAATGTTGCGATTTGTGGCGTCCGATTTAGAAGTTGTGACACTGAGAACTGTGACACGTGGCGCCCCCTGGTGTTCCTTGCATAGCCATCTTATTTGTCCAGTAGGCAGATGGCATCTAATGTAACAAATGATGGTAAGAATCAGAGATAAATAGAAAATGTCCAATTAAGGTGTTCACACATTGGATGAGATTTGAAAATGCATGTTTTTTATACAGTAGGTACACAGGCTTAATAGTAGGAATCTGACAAATGGCTGAATGAAGGGAAGTGATGTGAAAAAGAGATACTACTAACTACTTGTAAAATGTGCCTAAATTCAGGGACAGACCTGTTGGTTGAAAGTGATTGGTGTCAGATAACTAACACATGTACTGATGTATGGAATTTTTCCTGCATCTTTATTCGATTTTCACACTTTTGTATTTGATTACAACCATTTGATATTCCACTCTATTAAAATAATTCGAAACACGTAATAAATGTGTTTGTTTTTACACATTTATATTTGATTTATGTACCTACAGTACAGGTCACGCCGAGGATCTCACCTCGGTGCATCGAAAGGTGCATCGAACGATGCATCGATGGGTGCAACGGTCGGTACGACATCGGCGCACCGAGCTGCATCGCGGCGCATTTAATCGATGCATCGATCGGCAAGCTTAACGCGCCGACCGATGCATTCCTTGGTGCATTGTGCAACGTGCATCGGTGGATCGAGTAATGAATCAATAAAGACAGAATATTAAGACAATTTAATTATTCAGAAGGCCCACGCCAATAAATGAATTTTAATATTAATAGTTCTTGAAACCAAACTTCAAAAACGTGCCGCAGAAAAGAACGGGGGTCAAGACGCGTTCACAGATTTCAGTTAACTGTCAGACTGTCAGTCGAATGTAAAGGTTCACTTATGTTTGCAAGCAACGCATTTGTGTAATGCAATGATGATTCGATATTCTTTTCAGATAAACAGAAATATACGAAAATATGAATTATTTTACTTCAAACATTATGTTTAAGTCGACATAATAATGAAATAGCCTAATCCCTTCTTGTTCAATGGGACTTTGATTTCAGCCCTGAATATACCAAAGTATCTGTGTCATACTACAAATAGCATTAGACGTTAATACAATGTTCAGTATTTAAAACAAGGCCTCTGGTTTTCATGATATTTTCATTTTAGACATGTTTGAGTATTTTGAACATTTAAAAGCAAACCATTATTATTATGGAGCTATCACACTCATGACATAAGGGCTCATCGTTCGACAACGTGTCAATACTCTGCTTGGGCAGACAGCGGGACACGGCATGTATACACGGTGGGCAAAACAAATATCTAGATATATCCAGTAACATCAAATTAAAAAAAAAATATTAAAAAATGTATGCCCCAAATAACAACTCAGTGGCAAACGGTGAGCCCATACAGCGAATGTGACACTGTGACAGCTACTTTTTGTTATTGATTTTAAAATGCCCGTCCCACATTAATTGAGCCTGCATGCCCCATCTTATATAATTTAAGCAAGTACAATATTTAACCCAGCCCGTGGTTAAAACATTTGATGTCTCAGTCACCATTTGATATCTCATCTGCTAAATATTATATTCTTTTTTTACAGGTTCTTTCAATGAATGGAATGCTGCAGACATGACGGACATGTGAAGTTTGGGGTTATGCATGGACACATGCGAGGAGGACACAACGTAGAGAAAAGCGGGGGGTCTTCACTCGGGAAAGGTGTAAAACGCATCCTGGGATTCAGCAGAAACTGTTCCGAAATAATTCAGAACTAAGGTTGCATTCATGAATTCAGCTGCCGGCTGGTGGTTTAACCTACTTTTTATCAGTGGCAAACTCAATTACTTATAGTGGCAGGTACTGAGTTGAATTCACCTGCCAGATGACGGCTGGTGGTTTAACCTAGTTTTTAAGCCATTTTAAACATAAATGAAGGAATCTCCAGTCACTATTCATAATTAAATGAGTTGGACATGAATTAACCTAGTTGGTGAATCTGTCAGCCGTCAGTTGAATTGGCGAATGCTTCCTCGGCGCCCAACAATGCGTTTATACCCGGGTGTTTATACTTCATGTTATGCATGCAGTTTCTTGTTCTATTGTTAACACTTAAACGTTAATAATTAAGGGTTTAATTTATCTTCCAGGTATTCATAAATAGTTGGTGTAGGTCTGTTGACGGTGATGATGACAATTTTGATGACGAGGTCTACATTCATTTCGAATAATTAATCTTTAGGCATTTTGCATACTGTATTTAAGTTTATACATTTTTAATTTATTAGAGCTAGCATTCTGATTGATCAGAGCCATGCACTAGAATGCTTGAAAGAGAGAGAGTCTTAATATTCAAAAAATAGTTAAGGCTGTTAATTCCACGATTTAACGCTAGCTTTACATTTCCTTTGCTTTGTTTTATAAGAAGGTTGAGTTACACGTTTTTAAAAGAACTTGTACCCGAACGTGTACTATTTCGTTCCCCGCCAGGGAATATTGTTCCACTCTCATATTCACTTGGGACTGTTTTCCGTATGCCTTTATACTCAATCGGCCAAGTAAACAGTACACATGGGAGAAATAATTATCTTAAGAACCACGTTCACGTACAAGTTTTTTTAAGAAACGTGTGTTTTAACCCTATTATCACCTTAGCAGACGGGGACAAACTCTTGCAAAAATACATGTAGATTATTACAGCACTATTATAGATAAAACAGATTATTTAAATTAAGCTAATTGCTTTTGTGCTTCTTTAATCAATGACGTTTTCAACGGTTAGTTGTGTTGCTTTGTTGTTAATTTTTTTTTAAATTTTGACTTATAGTTGCTTTCCAAAATTCTTGTTTTCATTTCTTGTGTCAGTTATTTTTTCATATCTTTGTGCATGGCTACCTGCGTGTAGCATGATGATTGACCGGGAATAATCTGACGGGGATAGACGTCCATGATTATAACAGAGGCATATAAAGTCAGATGAAATATTATTAATATGCCTCTGATTATTATGAGACTGGATAGTGGATATAAGACTGCTCGTATATCCATGGGGGATGTAGGGGTTATTATTGTGTCACCATCAGAATCGGTGAGACAGATGACATATTGTTATAGTCTCCAACTTTTTGTGGACGGTGTTCGATGGTTTGTGTTCGAAGTTCGGCGGTTGGTATTTTAAAAACTGGTCTGAACGGTCATTATTCACGATTCCCACAATTTGACATCTTTGATCAGTAACTATACAAAACAAATAGTACTAATTAACTGTCTGGAGCACGGCGATCTCTTTCCGGCACAAACAGGATATTTTGATTTCTTAAAATTGTTTTATAAACAAGTATAATCTTTTTTCTTCATCGTCTGCAAATACATGAAATATTGCCAAGGAGAGTAACTTTTGACAGTTTTGGCAAAAATATCATGCGGAAAGTGATCAGAATGGTGAAAAATTGCATGGTTTGAAAGGTTTTTAGGCGGGGGGGGGGGGGGGGCAGCCGCTTCCAAAGTTTTTGCAAGTCGCTTCAAATTGACCATAAAATCTACAAGTTCTCACGATTAGATCAAACTTTTTTTTAACTTGCTTCAAATTTATTCTAAGGGGAAATTTAAAATTATCAGTTCCAACTGGACATTGTACATGTCTGCATGTACGACACATAACACTCTCTGACCAGATAATGATTCAATTTCTCAATTTTCAAATTAAAAGTAGGAAAAGCTAGCGTCATATTGGTCCTCAGACGCTCTTCCCAGCAAAAAGTCGTGAGTTATTTTAATACACAGCAAGGGCGTAGCCAGCTTTCAGTCAGATTGCCCGGGGGGGGGGGGGGCGATCGTGGCATGAGCAAGGCAAAAACAATTTGTTTTGAATTTTACAAAAATTGATGCAACTGCCTTCAAAAGTGAGCTGGACGCTTTCAATATATAGCATTTTAAAGCTCTTTTCTTCTATCCAATGGTTCTATTTTTATTGGTTATCGGGGTCGCACCCATCTCCCCTGACTACGCCTATGCATAGTACTGAACACAATAAAGTGCAGGCCGGGATCTTAGAATACATTTTAATTACGCCCCGTAGCCTACATTAAAGGCGTAATATGATATCAATTTGAAATTAAAAAACAGTATAATGCCTCCAATTAGTTTAATTTTCTGAGGATACAATGGGGAAATGAAGTTAATTTCGTCAAAGCTTGATTGAACTTTATCAGAAATCCCGAAACTTGATTACATTTGCTTTCAAAATGTTTGCTCTTTCCAAATATCATGGAAGTTGATTGCAATTATGTTCGATGAAAAATCAAACTGCTATCAAATGTAGGCTTATCATGGGTTAAAAGTTTGCAATGCCATGCAAGTTTCCTCGATTCCCATGATGACATTACATGTATAACCCCCGGGGTATAACCTAGAATCATCCTAGGTATAACCTATAATAATCATTACTCAAAGTACTATTAATCTGCCTGTGTGATTACATTTTGTTACAGAACGTCGAACACCGACCGCCAAACATCGATCGTTCACAAAAAAAGTTGGAGACAAAATGTGTCTACTTGTGGTGGAGTGACATAGAAATAAGACCCCCCCCCCCTCCCCTTCCAAACAGATCCTAGATTATTAAAGTTTAATATACTTCAAGGTTCTTGCATTTGTTTATAATGAGGATAAAACCTTCGTTCCCTTATTGAAGTTTCACGAGATCATGAAGCCTGAATAGTTGATTTCACTTTGTCAAAAGTCACGGATGATTGCTGTTGGATAGGAATGAAATAAATAAAAAAAACTAGCCTATTGAATGTCTGTGCGCATGGTATCAAATAATTTCGATTTCTCAAAAGTTGCTTTTCCTCTCACTTCCTTTAATCTATAATCACATATTAATTGGATCAATGCAGACTCGATTTCCTCTGCCCACAATACCATTGCAATGTAATGACGGGAAACGGTCGCTGGAATAAGCAATCAGACGTCTCAATTTGTTGAACGTTTGTTTTTGTTGAATGTTACTAGAAAACAAGGCGTAATTCTGATTTTGATATTGTTGCAATGCACATAAAGCATAGTTCAGCATTTCAAGTCATG